TCTGCGTTACTTCCTGGCTCGAGAGTTGCAGCAGCGTGGTCAGCTTCGTCTTGCTCACTTGGCCATTCGGGCCAACACTGCGGATATATTCACCAAGGCACTTCCGTCTGGTGATCATCAGCGTTTCTGCACTTTGTTAGGCCTTGTGCCCACTTTGCCTCACTTGCTGTAGACTTTGCTTGTACTGTTATCTATATATATATATACCTGCATGCCTTTTCTGCTAGGTAGAGATCACTGTACTGCTGTTGTTGCATATATAACTCTGCATGTGAACTGGCCTTGTGTCCCTTTGCTTGTGCTCAGTGTGAGTGGTGATGTTGTGATCCACCCTAAGCTTGCTTTGCTTCTCTTGACTGGTCTTGTGACCCCTTGCTCTCCCCCACTTTGCCTATGGGGGTGTGTCAAATGTTATATCTGCTATATATGTTTAGGCTGTAGTGGGGTAGCCAATATGGGGTACAGCCCACTTTAGGGTTTCATATTTGTACCCAACTCTTCCATAGTGCAATCATTCCTGCTGCTAGATTCTAACAAATGTAACCCCGTTCGCCAATCTGAAGAAAGTTGAAGTGATTTTAATCACACCTTCTTGGCCTCCGTTAAATTCCCATATGTTGGAACGGCGATGAAGTTCTTCCTTCAACTCTCCACTTGAATAAAATATTTATAGTCAATCAGTTGGTGTTCCTACCTACGCTTGAGAAGCCAGATGTTAAGTTAAACATGTGTATACATAGGCTCTATTTGTAAGCATTTGCTAGGATAAACTCGGCAACTACTTCCTGTAGTTGCCAATCATTCAACGTTGAGATCGCTGGTAGACCCTGTCGTAGGGGTTGCTATCAAACTATCATGCTGTGTGTGTTGTGTAGGCTGTAGTGGGGTAGCCTATATGGGGTACAACCCAATTGGGGCCATACTTGTATCAACTTTCTGCTCAATGCATTCATTCCTGCTCGTTAGTTTCTGACATGGTTTCAGAGCAGTATGTCCGTAGGACCGTTTTTATTCGGGCCCACCATTACCCAGTGACCGACTGCAGTTACCGCGCTACCCCACGCCCTGCCCTGCGCTGTGCCGTCAGCGCGCGCCCTGCCCTGCCTTGCGTCACACTGGCCGTGCACGCCCTGCCCCGCGTTGTGCTGCCCCGCGCACGCCCTGCCCTGCCCCGCGTCCCGCGGTCCCGCGCACGCCCTGCCCTGCCCCGCGTCATGCTGCCCCGCGCACGCCCTGCCCTGCCCTGCGTCGCGCTGCCCCGCGCACGCCCTGCCCTGCCCCGCGTCGCTCTGCCCCGCGCACGCCCTGTCCTGCCCCGCGTCGCACTGCCCCATGCACGCCCTGCCCTGCCTCCGGTGGCGCACCCCTGCAGCCCGTCGCGCCGCGCGCCCCTGCAGCCCGTCGCGCCGCGCGCCCCTGCTGCCTGTCGCGCCGTGCGCGCGTGCTGTCCATCGCGTCACGCCGCCCTTGCGCCCCTGCTGCCCGTCGCGTCGCCCATGCGGGCTGCCCCAGCCCGTCGCATCGCCCGTCCGCCCAGCCCCTGCACGTTGCGTCGCCCGTGCGGGCTGCCCCAGCCCGTCGCATGTCCCGTCCGCCCTGCCTGCCCGTCGCGTCGCCCGTGCGGGCTGCCTCAGCCCGTCGCGTCGCCCGTCCGCCCTGCCTGCCCATTGCGTCGCCCGTGCGGGCTGCCCCAGCCCATCGCGTCGCCCGTCCGCCCTGCCCCTATCCGTCGCGTCGCCAGTGCGGGCTGCCCCAGCCCGCCGCGTCACCCGTCCGCCCTGCCTCCCGTGCGCCGCCCCTGCCAGGATGCGCGCCGAACCTGCCTGCCCCGCGTCGCGCCGCCCCGCGCACGCCACCCGCGCGCCGCCCCTTGCAGCCCGCGAGCCGCCCGTCTGCAGCCCACGCGCCGCTCTGCTGGCAGCGCGCTGCCCTCTGCAGCCCGCGAGCTGCCCCCCCCCCCCTCCTTGCTGCCCCGCGCGCCGCCCTGCTGGCTGCGTACCGCCCCTGCCTGTCCGCGCGCCGCCCTGCTCTGGCCGTGCGCCGCCCTTCCCTGACCGTGCACCGCCCCGACCTACCCTAGTGCCTACCCGCCGCTCTGCTTCCCTGTGTGATCCCTATTGTTCGCATGACTTCTCTTCACGGTAGCGGTGGGAGTGGTGGCGGCGGTGGTGGCAGCAGTGGTAGTGGTGGCAGCTGTAATAGCAGTCGCTGTGGAGCTGTTCGGTGGGGAGTTTCTCGCGGTGGCCAGATGCAGCTGCAGCGACGTCCACACGAGACCCTTCCGCCCCAACAGCTACGTGAGTGGTACGCTAGTAGGAGTGGTGGCGGCGGCAGTAGTGGCAGTCGCTGTGCAGCTGTTCAATTGGGAGTTTCTGGTGGTGGCCTGGTGCAGCTGCAGCGGCGTCCGCACAAGACCCTTACGCCCCAGTAGCTTCGTTAGTGGTACGCTCATCGTGGGGCGTCTCCGAGTATTGCTCGCTGCCCCTTCCGTCATTCGTACAGGTGATCGGGCTGGTCAGACTTGCGGGACAGTTGGTCACACACAGTCCCGCTGCTTCTCCTGTCTGAGCGACACATGGCGCGCAGAGTTTGGTGACTCGGCTGAGCTTCCCCGCTGGCTAGAGCTGCTTAGGCAGGGTGTGGATATCTTTGCTCTAGACTATGACGCTATCCTCAATACCATGTATGCTTTGACTATTAGTACTGAGGGTGACTGTTCCCAGTGTGTGCCGCCCGACCCTGGTATAGAGGCAGCTGCACTAGGTGCTGGTGAGTCTGCTCTCTCTGGTAATGCGCCTGCTGAGGCCTTGCACACCTTCACGCTTGACTCAGGTGCTTCCCGCTGCTTCTTTCCCGACAGCACCATAGTCACACCACTCGCAGCACCGGTTGCAGTCTCTCTGGCTGACCCCTCTGGGGGACCGGTTCTTGCACGTTCCTCTACTGTTCTCCCGTGTCCGGCGGTCTCGTCTGGCTCACTGTCAGATCTTCACCTCCCCTGGTTCTCTACGAACTTGGTGAGTAACGCCGTCCTTCACGATGCTTGGGTTGATACCTTTACCCCTGGAGGACAGTGTGTGGCGATCTGCACGTGTGCACGGACGGGCCGTCACCTGGCCACGTTCACCCGTCGGCCTGGGTCGAGCCTGTACACACTGACTACTGCGCCTCCCCAGGTAGCTGCGTCTGCGTTCGCGTCAGGTCAGCTAGCAACCCCCTGTTCGTGTCGCCTTGGTCACCAGAATCTCCTATAGCACCACCGCCTTGGTCACCCCTTCGTGCCACGCCTCCGTGGCATGCACTTTCGCCTCCTTGTCTCTGGTCTTCCCAGGTCCCTGCCTCCCCTCCCACCCTCGCCTGCCCCTCCCTGCCTTCCCTGTATCGAGGGGCGGCAGCGCGCCACTCCTCACTCCTCCTCGATTCCCCGACGAGTGCTCCCCTGCAAACTCTCCACATGGACGTGTGGGGCCCAGCCCGCGTCTAGGGACAGGGCCGCGAGCAATACTTTCTACTGGCTGTTGACGACTACTCGCGTTACACCATGGTCTTCCCCTTGCGCAGCAAGGGGGGGGTCTCTGATGTCTTGATCCCTTGGATCTGCGCTGTTCGTCTCCATCTCCGCGAGCGGTTCGACACGGACCTTTCTGTCCTGCGACTGCACTCTGACAGAGGTGGTGAGTTTTCCTTCGACCTCTTGCGGGACTTTTGTCGTGGGGAGGGCATCCTCCAGTCGTTCACGCTTCCGGCCTCTCCGCAGCATGATGGGGTTTTTGAGCGCCGCATTGGCTTAGTCATGGAGGTCGCTCGTACCTCCATGATCCATGCGGCTGCTCCCCATTTTCTGTGGCCATTTGAGGTCCGGTACACTGCGCATCAGCTCAACGTCTGGCCCGTGTCTGCTTGCCAGGGACCTCGCCTACATTGCGTTGGACAGAAGAGGTTGGCGATGCGTTGGTGTTCCGGGTCTGGGGCTCTCGTGCCTTTGTCAGCGATACCTCCGCGGACAAGCTCTCCTCCCTCGCCATTCCCTCTCTCTTCCTTGGCTTTGTCCTTGACGCGCCTGGCTGGCAGTTTTACCACCCCACCTCGCGACGTGTCCTGCCCTCTCATGAAGTCACGTTCGACGAGTTGGTTCCCTTTTAACGTCTCTTCCCCTACCGCACTGCCCCTTTTTACCCCCCCCAGCCGCTCTTCCTCGCTCGAGGCCCCCCTCCGGTAGACCCCCTCCCCCCTCAGGGTCCTGCTCCGGCAGGTGTGTCTCACGTAGACCCACTCCCCTTGGTTGAGCCTGTCGAGGTCACGGGTGACTTGGGTGCTGCTCGGGGTGCTGCGTCTGGGGGTGCTAAGCCTACGGTTGCGGAGCCTGAGCTTGCGTAGCCTGGAGGTGCTGAGCTTGCGAGCACGGAGCCCGGGGGTGCTGAGCCTGAGCGTACGGAGCTTGTGGGTTCTGAGCCTGCGGGTTTGGAGCCTAAGGGTGTTTAGCCTGCGGGTGCGGAGCCTGGGGGTGCTGAGCGTAGGGGTCCTGCGTCTACACTACGGGAGCCTCTCTCACCACGGCAGCTGCGCAAGTGGTACACTCGGCGCACACACCTTCGAAGTGTCGGTGCTGGAGCTGGAGGTCCTGGAGCTGCTAGTCCTGGAGATGCTGGAGGTACTGCTAGTACTGGAGGTAGTGGGGGTGCTGGAGCTACTATTCCTAGAGGTCCTACTGGTGCCTTGCCCCAGCGGTCTAGCCGGCGGGAGCCTCTCTCACCACAGCAGTTGCGCGAGTGGTACGCTTGGCGCACCCGCCTTCGGAGTCACTGGCGCTGGAGGCACTGGTGCTGCTGGTGCTGGAGGTGCTGGTGGTGCTGGCCCTGCTTGTCCTGGGGGTGCTCGTGCTGGAGGCGCTGGAGCTGACGAAGCTGGTAGTGCCGGTGGTGCTATAGGTGCTGGAGGTGCTGGTCTCGGAGGTGCTTGTACTGGAGGTACTGGAGCTACTGGAGCTGGTGGTGCTGCTGATGCTGAAGGTACTGGAGCTGCTTGAGCTGGTGGTGGTGCTGCTGCTGGAGGTGCTGGAGCTGCTGGTCCCGGAGGTGCTCGTACTGGAGGTACTGGAGCTGCTGGAGCTGGTGGTGCTGCTGGTGCTGGGGGTACTGGAGCTGCTGGAGCAGGTGGTGCTGTTGCTGCTGGAGGTGCTGGAGCTGCTGGTCCTGGAGGTGCTCTCACTGGAGGTACTGGAGCTTCTGGAGCTAGTGGTGCTGCAGGCGCTGGAGCTGGAGACCCTGGAGCTGGGGGTGCTAGAGCTTTCGGTACTGGTGCTGGAGGCGCTGTGCGGCCGCGACCGTACTTCGTTCCACTTCTTCGCCAGGTTCTTGGTATCCCGTCTTCTACTGTCCTTACTCCGCCTCTACTGTATCCACCGCCAGACCAGTCGCACCCATAGTTACAGCCATCCTCCCCAGTGCCTGCTCCTTCTCCTTACACTGAGCAGACAGACACTCTCATAGAGCATCATGAGCCTGTGTCTCGCCCTGCCTTGCCTGTTCGCGCTGGTCGCACAGGTCGTCGTGTTCCGCGTCCGCGTCCTCCTCCTGTCCCCGGCACTCACAGTATGACACTTCGTCAATCCTTTGTTCCACTACGAGTTCCCCTGCCGTCTCCTCCTGCGTCCTCTCTTCTTGACGGTCCAGACCCTAAGTCTGACTTATTTCATTCTGCAAGTCCTACTGTCACACGTCATCTAGCCACTGTTGTCTCTGACCCGTCGTTTGTGTTAGAGACTAAGGACGGAGACTATGAACATTAGGGGCAGAAATATCTCAAAATCGTTGGACTATATCTCTGGACAGAATTGTCGACTTCACAAGAAACGTCGTCGACGAAACATTCACCGTTGAAACTTCACCAAACTATGTTGTCGCTCTGGTCCGTGGCTACAATTCTCGTACAGCACCGCGCTCTTCTCAATCCACCGTTCGCAAGCGTCGCCTTCCTCCGGCATCTTCTCTTCTCCCATCGCAAGTTTCTGCAGCTTGTAGCGCTTAAACGCACTCCGCATCCGCCCGCTTCATTCCTCATAGTTGGAGCCATCAAATGCCTCGGTCTTGGATGGTGGTGGCTCATTCCTCTTCTCAGCTGCATCTCTACTCTCTTGACTCGTTTCCTCTGCTCCAAATCACAGGTTCCAGCTCCCCCTTTGCTGTCCACACTGATGTCTTACTCAATTTCCACAAGTGTTGGCGCCAACGAAATTTCGGCTGAGTTTCCCCTTAGCAGAAGTCACATGCAACCTCCAGAACTCCACTTAGGCACGCCCACAGGCCCTGGTGGGTTTAGGAGGGTCTTCACACCTCAGTAGACTCTCCACAAAGTCCTTAATCAGCTCTGATACCACTTGTTTGAGACTAAGGACGGAGTCTATGAACATTAGGGGCAGAAATATCTCAAAATCGTTGGACTATATCTTTGGACAGAATTGTCGACTTCACAAGAAACGTCCTCGACGAAACGTTCACTGTTGAAACTTCATGAAACTCGTATATGTTGTAGCTATGGTCCATGGCTACAATTCCAAATTCGAATCGTACAGAGTTATGAATTTTGGCGCACTAGGGGGTAAGCTGCCATAGAAACTTAACTCAAACACAATTATCTCACAAGTTAACACAAGAAAGTTGGAGTGAAAAGAAACCAGGTAGGAGGGGATGAGGAGGACAAGAGGGAAGGTCCCCAAGGAGCCCCAACCAAGGAAACCCCATAAGCACAAAGATTCCCTCCCTATGGGCACCCTAACTTTGACTTTTGTCACTTTCCCAACCCATGCCATCCACCTCACCCAACTTGGCCACACTTGCCAACCTGAATTGGCTTCTCCCAACCACTTGGCATCAACTACAGTGATGGGGACGAATTTCCCAACCCCAAAAGTCTGTACCCCATATTGAGTCACTTCACAACTTCCCAAAGTCGTCGCATCCCAATCAAAACTTCAAACGAACATAACTTCGTCGTTCTTGCTCCGATCGCGACGATTCTTGGTTCGTCGGAAAGCTCTTGAGCAGAGGAGTCACTTCAGATATCTGCCCAAGCCAAATGGTATTCACACACTCTCAGAAAATCCAAACCACACCGAACACAATTCTTGCGCACGCTCACACCACGCATGCAATGCACAAACATATGATGGGAGGAAGACAGACGTGAATGCAAATGATAGCATCACATAACAAACTCCCCCTCTGGCTGCCTACCATCATCTTACATGCCATAGCTCAAGCATGCACCCTCAATGCACACTCATCCCAGCAAGCTTCATGCCCTTCCAATGCTCAGGTTCAGCTAGGCGCTTGGTGAGAATGTCAGCCGCCTGCTGATGGGTTTTCACAATCTCCACTCGCACCTCCTTGTCTAGGAGCCTCCTCACCCAATGCCACTTAGGCCTGATGTGTTTGGTCAGCCCATGAAGACAAGCATTCTTGGCTAACTTCACTGCCGACTCATTGTCACAGAACATCACAGTCGGCTCCCCCTGACCATCTCCAATCTCCTCCGACAAACGCCTCAGCCACACCACCTCCTTAGCCCCATGATGCAGGGCCATGTACTCTGTTTCACACGAGGACAACCCCACCTCGTTCTGCTTCTTGCTGCGCCAGCTCAATACACCACCTCCAAATAGGCACACATAGCCTCCAATGCTGGTGCCATCCGTCTTCACGGAGTTGAAGCTAGCGTCAGTGTAGCAGGTCAAGAGCATCTCCCCTTTGCTCAAATCAGCTGTACCCCTCTTCAGCCTCTGTCGTACAGCACTGGCTCCAAGCCCACTGATGCCGTAGCGCTCACATAGCGGACCAACCTCTTGGCCGCTTCCGGCTGCTCATGACACTGGCAAGCTTGGATGTAGCAAAGGCAATGTTAGGCCGCGTGTGGTTAGCCGCATAGTTGAGTGCCCCAACCATGGAATGGAACAGCTTCCTGTCGCTCTCACCCACCACCTCCTCATCAGCACAGGGCTCCATAGTGAACCCCGAAGGCAGTGGGGTTGCTGGCTTTCCTCCATCCTGGAGTCCATACTTCTCAGCCAGCCCTTCACAATACTTCCTCTGGTGCAACCTCAACACTCCCTTGACATTGTGTCGCAATGCATAGTTTATATGTATGTTTATAACTGCATGTAGCATTAGCTTTAGTGTAGTTATGCCTTCTTACATTGGTGGTGCACCTTCTCTATGTTCTTTTGCTATATGTTCTTACAAACCTATAGTGAAACTCCCATTCTCGATTCTCCTTGGTACAACCACCTCGACACCCGCTTGGCCTAGGCTACTAAGCCTAGGCCCTTAGTAAACTCCGGTTCCTAGACTAAGTTCGTTTCGTAACATGGTATAGAGCTAGGTCGTTCCCGACCTATTTTTGAAGGGCCCACCGTTAACCTTCACGATGGCGCGTCCCGTTAACCAGCAAATCGCGGCCCCGTTCGTCCTTTCCCGTCGCTCGCTCGTAGCAAAATTTGTCACGGTAGGCATGACGGACGCCACGGTCGCGGCGGGAGTGACGGCGATCGTCGACCCGCTGCTTCACGCCGTCGTTTGCGCCCTCGTCAACCCCGCGCACTACCCACTACTGCAGCCCACCACCCACGCGATTTCCGCTGCTGCTGCCCGTCGCCCGTCCCGTCGCGCTGCCGCCCGTCACCAGATCCGTGCCGCCCGTCGCCAGATTCCCGCCACCCGTCCGCACACCGTCGCCCGTCGCCCTGCTTCCCGTCGCCCCAGCCGCTCCTTATCCCGCCGTCGCCCTGACCGTCGCATTACCCCCGCCCCCTGCCCGTCACCACCCCCCGTCGTGCTTGTTCGCGTGTGCAGCGGCGGTCGCTGTGAGGAGGGTGAGGGAAGAAGGGCAGGGAGTGGCGGCCGAACGCTGTGGGGAGAGGGAAGCAGGGGAAGGGCATGGCGGGACAGCCCGCAGCTACAACGCTAGCAACGACCGCCAGCCGAGACTTTGCCAGCAGAGACCCCGCCAGCAGAGACCCCGCCAGTAGCAACACCGCCAGCAGAGACCCCGCCAGCAGAGACCCCGCCAGTAGAGACCCCGCCAGCAGAGACCCCGCCAGCAGCGCCACCGCCAGCAGAGACCCCCGTCCCACCCAGCGCGCATCACCTGCCATTGGACCCGCTAGCCGCCAGCACCAGCACCAGCACCGACGCTAGTCACAAGCGCCAGCACCAGCTCCAGGGCCTGCCGCCAGCACCAGCACCAGCTCCAGGGCCAGCCGCCAGCACCAGCACCAGCTCCAGGGCCAGCCGCCAGCACCAGCACCAGCTCCAGGGCCAGCCGCCAGCACCAGCACCAGCTCCAGGGCCAGCCGCCAGCACCAGCACCAGCTCCAGGGCCAGCCGCCAGCACCAGCACCAGCTCCAGGGCCAGCCGCCAGCAAGAGAACCCCGCCAGCAGAGAACCCCGCCGGCAGAGAACCCCGCCAGCAGAGAACCCCGCCAGCAGAGAACCCCGCCAGCAGAGAACCCCGCCTGCAGAGAACCCCGCCAGCAGAGAACCCCGCCAGCAGAGAACCCCGCCAGCAGAGAACCCCGCCAGCAGAGAACCCCGCCAGCAGAGAACCTCACCAGCAGAGAACCCCGCCAGCACCAGGAACCAGCACCAGGAACCAACACGAGCACCAGGAACCAGCACCAGCGCCAGCCGCCAGCACCAGAGGGGTTGAGTGGGTGGGTAAGGGGGTGGAAGAAGTAAGTCGGGCATTTGCAGCCGTTGCCTGTAGCAGGCACGCCCCCGGAGGTGCTGAGCGGTGCTGTACAGCTGCTCGTTGCAGCCACAGCGCCTGCTCTCACGCCCACCTGCCGGGTCCTGCACCTGTCGTTGCTGCATATGCCGTGGCTGAGGTCACTGTGGCCCTATCTGCCATCACTGCACCTGCTGCCTGTAGTAGGCACGCCCCCGGAGGTGCTGAGCCGCGCTGTCCAGCTGCTCGTTGCAGCCACGGCGCTTGCTCTCACGCCCACCTCTCGGGTCCTGCACCTGCCGTTGTTGCAATTGTCATGGTTGATCTGTGTTGCTATTTCCTCTGCTTCTACCTCTTGCCCAGGTTCCGGGGGTGTGACTTGCTCAAGTTATGTGCTGCAGGCAGTTAAGGGGGTGTGTCGCGATACATATTTTATATGTATGTTTATAACTGCCTGTACCATTAGCTTTAGTGTAGTTATGCCTTCTTACATTAGTGGTGCACCTTCTTTGCTATATGTTCTTGCAAACCTATAGTGAAACTCCCATTCTCGATTCTCCTTGGTACAACCACCTCGACACCCGCTTGGCCTAGGCTACTAAGCCTAGGCCCTTAATAAACTCCGGTTCCTAGACTAAGGGTACGTTCCTGTGGAGACACTTGTGTCTCGATCCTTTTGTGACGAGTAAAACCAGCTTATAACGTACAAGGTCACAAACGCGTGTCGCCCTTGTGCGACTTTTAATGTATTTTTCATTTGTCAGCGTGAAACGCGCTGATGTCGCGGACGAGTTGCGTATCGACCCGTCATTCTCAACAACTCTGTACGCGGTTCGAAATGTCAATGCACCTGGACATTCCACAGTAAAAATCTCGCGCGGGAAAAAGTTCCGCTCGTCAAAACCCCACCCGAACCAGACAGTTGAAGAAGCAGGTGTTCAGTCAAGTTTGAAATCCAATCAAATGAGCACAGCTGTAAATTTCGCCTGGTCGCACAGTTTCGTGATACACTCATTTTTTGTGACGCGAGATTGCAAAAATGTGTAGACGCGACTCGGAAAAGAGGGGATTGAGACACAAGTGTCTCCACAGGAACGTACCCTAAGTTCGTTTCGTAACACATTGTCCCTCTCCACATGCATCCCCAAATAGTACTTCACATCTCCCATCTTGGAAATCTTAAACTGCATCTCCAGCATCTCCTCCACACGCTCAATCATCGCAGCCGACTCAAAGAAAAGAAGGATGTCGTCCACATACACCAGGAGCATGAGGAACTGCTCCTTCTCTTGCAGCAGGAACAAGCTGTGATCACACTCGCTCTTCTTGAAACCCCCAGCCAGCAGTGTCTCCTCTCGCTTGTGGTACCATGCACGAAGAGCCTACTTCAGGCCATAGATGGCCTTCTTCAGCCTGCACACCATGCCGCTCCCATCATCCAGCCCCTCAGGCTGCAGCATGTACAGCTCCTCCATAATCATCCCATTGAGGAAGGTGGTGGTAATGTCCATCTGCTTCACCCGCCATCCACGGTTTGCAGCCATTGCCAATGACACTCTCAGTGTTGTCCCTTTCCCCACATGTGCAAATATCTCATCGAAGTCCTTTTTCTTCATCTGCTGAAACCCCTTAGCCACAAGCCTCGACTTGTAGCGGGTCAGCTCCCCTTCAGGTCCATACTTGTGACCGAAGATTAGCTTCAAAGAGATTGCCTTCTTCCCGGGAGGCAGCTCACACAACTCCCAAGTCTCATTCTCCAGCACAGAGTCATACTCCTCCTTCACACTCTGCTTCCACTTCTCAGCATGTGGCCCGCTCAATGCCTCAGCTAGCGTGTTGGGCTCAGGGACGGTTGCCCAGTAGTAGTGTGCTATCTCTTCCTCATCACACTGCTCGGCCACACTTCCAGCATGCTCCACATTTCGTGAGCCACTACGATTTTAGCTCAGCATGACAGGTGGGCGCACATCCCTCCTAGGACGGTGTGGGGCACGTGGCGGAGCACGTTGTTGCTGCTGCTGCTGCTGCTGCGGCTGCTGCTGCTATTGCTGCGGCTGCGGTAGCTGCTGCTGCTCTTGCTCTTCCACCTCAGGTTCTCCCCCATCCTCTGTCACCCCAGAGATCTCCTTCTCGGACACAGAAACCTCCACTTGCCTCGAAGGCCGCTGCACCTCATCGGCCTCCACAATCAATGGTGTAGCAGGAAGCTTCTGCTGCTGCTGCTTCCACTCCTTGTAGTACAAGGACTCAAGGAACTTCACATCCCTTGACACAGTCAGCTGCTGGCTGGTCAAGTCCCATATCAACCAGCCCTTGTGATCCTTAGCAAGCCCCAAATGCACACCCCATCTCCCAGAAGCTTCCAGCTTTCCCCTCTTCTCCTTAGGCACATGAAACACCACCATGCACCCATAGGCTCTCAGCATGTTGACTGCAGGTGCACTCCCATACGACTTGGTGTAGGGGACCCACTGCTTGTCCCCCACAGTCGCCAACACCCGGTTCTTTACAAGGGCGACCTGCCGCAGTGCAGTCACCCAAAACGGATCCAGCAGCCCTGCACGCCCAAGGAGAGTGCGAGCACCTTCCTGCAGGATCCGGTTGAACCGCTCAGCTATGCCGTTCTGCTGAGGATTGTAGGGCACTGTGAGCTGATGTTGGATCCCCTTCTTCTTCAGCACCACCTCAAAATCAGCGCCAATGAATTCTCCCCCGTTGTCAGTGCGGATCACCTTCACTTTGTGTCCGCTTTCCCTTTGGGCTGTCGGCATTCACTCCTTAAGAACAGCCGCTGCCACCTCCCCCTTAGTCTTGAGAGTGTAGACACACACCGCACGCGTGTGATCGTCCACAATGGTCAGGAAGTAGCGGCTGCCCGAGAGAGAAGGGGCCCTCGTGGGGCCCACCACGTCCATGTGCACAAGTGCAAGTGGAGCCTTGGCTGGTCCCGTGCTGCTGCTGAAGGGAAATTTTGTGAACTTGGTCTCAAGGCATGTAGGGCAGCTCCCAATCTCCTTTGCTGCCCCCTTCACCTCCAACCCCTTCAAGCTCCCATCCTTCACTAGCTTCTGCAGCATAGGAAAATTTATATGACACAGCCTTTCGTGCCACGTCTCCCAATCGGCCTCACCACTCCCAGATGAAGCCTTTGCCCATGCAGCGATCGCATCCACACCAGCAAGCACCTCACCATGTGGCTGCTGTGGCTGCTGCACCTTCTTGTCTACATCCAGGGCCCCATCAGTTGGTGCAGTCTTCTCTCCTCCCGCAGTTGCTTTCGCCGTTGCTGCTGCCGCTGTCGTTGCTGGAGGTTTCCCATTCCAAGGGATGATGGGCAGCTGCCACAGGTCCTTGATGCATCTGTTCTTCTCCTCCAGATCCCATAGCAGCAACTTCCCAAGCTTTGCATGGCAGCTGGTTGGGCCAAACGTAACTTTGGCCTTGCTTTTCTGCAGCCAGCGCACAGAGTGGAGGTTAGCAGACAAACCCACAACACATTCCCCAGCCCCACAAGCCCCCCTTTGGCTCCCATCACCTTGGCATTCCCAACACCAATCACAAGGAGCAAAGCACCTGAAGCGGCAGCCACAAACTTGATCTTCCTAGGGGGTTTTACCTCGTCAAGCAAATCTGCCCGTGGGGTCATGTGACTTGTGCAACCTGAATCGATTACCCAGTGAGTGAGGGGGTGCATCACAACCTTTCCAACTGAGCCCACATCACCCCCATTCCCTTGCACATCCTCAACCATGAGGAACATTCTAGGGTCGGCTTTACCTTGTGCACCATCACCTTGTGCACCTGAACCTTGCACAACGCCACCTCGTGCACGTTCACCACTTGGCGGCCTCATGCCTGTAGGCACCCATCCCTCGGCCGGCTGAAACACTTGAACCATGGGTGTCCAGCCTTCTTGCAGTACCAGCACGCACCCTCCATTCGGGTGCTCCCCCTGCCACCAGAGCTCCCATGCCCCTCGTAGTCACCTCGGCCTCTCCCTCTGCCAAAGCCTCTCTTGCGGCCTCGGCCTCTCCCACCCCCTCTTCCTCTGCTGCCTCCTGCAGCTCCATATCCCTCAGCAGTTTTGTTGGTAGCACCACCTCCCGTATGGCGCCTGCGGAAGTCCTCCTTTACAATCTTCTGCCGTAGCCACTCAGGTGTCCACTGGTCCTGCTGAGTGTTGAGGGTGGGGATGAGGTTGTCCCATGTATTGTCAAGCACCAAGATGATCTTGGTGCACTGCTGCATCTGCGACATGTTGCTGCCCACCGGTGCCATCCTCGTATAGGTGTCCTTGATCTTGTCAAGGACCGGCTTCACATCATCGCCAGATCGCATGGAGAGGGCAGCCAACTTCTTCTCCAACACAATCACCATCGGCAACGCGTTGGGCTGAATCACATCACGCAGTAGATTCCACGCCTTCGGTCCGGAATCATCCAGCTCCACCAAATCTTTGATGTGTTGGAACATGTCGTTGTTGACCTATTGAAGGATTAGGTCGTACAGCACCGCGCTCTTCTCAATCCACCGATTGCGGGCGTCGCCTTCCTCCGGCATCTTCTCTTCTCCCATCGCACGTTTCTGTAGCTTGTAGCGCTTAAACGCACTCCGCATCCGCCCGCTCCATTCCTCATAGTGGAGTCATCCAATGCCTCGATCTTGGATGGTGGTGGCTCATTCCTCTTCTCAGCTGCATCTAAACTCTCTTGACTCATTTCCTCTGCTCCCAATCACAGGTTCCAGCTCCCCCTTTGCTGTCCACACCGATGTCCCACTCAATTTCCACAAGTGTCGGCGCCAACAAAATTTTGGCAGAGTTTCCCCTTAGCGGAAGTCACATGCAACCTCCAGAACTCCACTTAGGCACGCCCACAGGCCATGGTGGGTTTAGGAGGGACTTCACACTTCAGTAGACTCTCCATAAAGTCCTTAATCAGATCTGATACCACTTGTTAGAGACTAAGGACGGAGTCTATGAACATTAGGGGCAGAAATATCTCGAAATCGTACAGAAAGG